TGTTGGGGTCTGGCTGGTGCGAACCCTTTCCTGGCAGGCTCCTGGTGTTCGATAATCTTTCTCTTTCCTGTTTTAGTTCTGACTCAAGCTGATGCTGGCTCCGGGTCAGCTCCTCCACTCCCACTTCCAGCTGCAGACTATTGATCTTATCCCGAAGTCCTGTTGGAGGAGCCAGTTGTCCAACTCAACAGACCGGCAGCCTTGCTCAACCTGGCGCAGTCTTGTTCCAGTTGTTTAATGGTGGCGGCCGCCTGATTAGCCTTCTCTTACAAATGACTGTTTAGTTCCCTTTTCTGTTGTACTCCTAACTCTGAACTCTGCAGCTGCAAGGCCAGTTGGTGCTTGAGTGTCCTGAGGTCATCCAGCGGCTGCCTCAGAGATACCAGCGCCTCCTGCTTCTCACAGACGTCTCCAGCATCTTCACAGCCAGCTCCATCTCCTGCCGCCTGCCAGTCTGGAGCTCCTGCTCCTTCTCACATCCAATCCTAGCTGTGTCTCCTCCTTTAAATGTTTTCTTGCTTCACTCAGTGCTTGCCTGTCGGCAGTTCTGTCTTGCTTAGGACCCTTCCAGTTACATTCCAATATATAGGCTCTTTCTTCTTTAACCCGTTCCATTTCTTCTTGTAAGGTAATAATCCTGTTTGCAACTGCAAGCTCCCTGTCATTTCAGTGTTGGATTTGTCTAATGCATCTACTTTTGCCTGGAGGTTATTTACTGTAGCATTCAGATGTCTGTTGAGTTCTTCCACATGGTTCTTCTGGTCCAGGATTGCAGTAATGTGACCATCCCCTCACTAGCTTTACTGCTGTTCCCGTCCTTGAGATACATGGAAAAGTTGATAACTCCAACCTGAGAGTCCAGCTCTTCTCTTTTCATGCAGAAATTAGCATCGTTGATCTGTAGCCCCACCAACAGGCCAGCAACCATAGCTCCTTCTTCCTCCACCATGAGGAGCATTTGGTTCATAGAACTCACCGAGACATTCCTTTTTATTGATGAGAGCTTTCACATATTCTGAAAGTATCTTTTGCATGGATGCCAAATGAAACCAGGCTCTTCCTCTACCTACTGGTGTCTTCAGTCCGGGAAGATCTTTAATACTTGCTGTTATCTCTGCAGCTTCTGGAACAAGTTCTAGAGGTCCCCAGATGGATTAATTGTATCCAAGAACGGTTTTCTCGGCTCTTCATCCATGCCTCAGACAGTGATCCATCACCACGAAGGACTGCTAAAGGGGTGCACAGTCAGAGTGGAGTCCTGCCTGGGTTCAGAGCTGATTCGGTGAAGCTCTTGATACTCAGCTTGGCCAGGGTCATCATGTCCATGACCTCTTTCGCCATGAGATAATTGGGGTGGCACACAACGGCCCCACTGCCCGGGTGGCTCAGCAGCAGGAAGCGCAGCAGGGAGCCCGGCGACTGTGAGGTGGGGCTGCATCAGCGGGTGGGCCGCAAAGCCAGCAGGCCCCTTGTCTGGTACAGCAGGGAGAAGAGCTTTCATTCCTTCCAGTTCTACGAGAGACCTCTGTTCATTAGCTTATTTAAAGTTTTGACCATCTTATTTACCATTATAAACCTAAAAGTTACGAAGGGATATTATTATTCTCTTAGGCTAAATATATTTGAGGGTACTGTATTTTACAAACAGATTGTTTTATATGTTTGTCTGTTTTCCAAATATAGTTATTTTGTTGCAGCTCTACAATTTTTTCCTTTAAAAAATATTTGCCTATAATTGAAATTGCTTTATAGGTAAAAGTCATTAAGTTTAAAGGCATGCATCTCTCCCCCCTAGGTTTCTAGCAGATCAAAATGATGTGATGTGTATTGTTGTCTAAATATAATCATCCCAAAATTTTAATTAGTGAGCAATAACTTATTGTCACAATCTTGTTGTTATAGGATATTTTAAAAGCTTTGTCAGCATAACTAAATGGAAACTGTTAAATTTGGAAAAGCTACTAACAGGACTCCTCTTGGTGAGCAAAGGAGCAGCTGCATGGAAATATTTTCCAGACTCTGCTCACTAGGGGGACCCCAACAATTTCTGTAGTCTTACGGTAGACAGGCTCCAATTGTTTTCATAGGAGGCATCAATGAAAATTACTTAAGTTTGTTATTATGTTTACATTGTTTATCATCAAAGGGTTAAGATCAAAATATATTTTTGTGCTATGTGTACATTGGTCATTTTCAAAAGATAAAATTTTCTGTGAAAAAAACAAAGGTTTTATTGAAAAACAAAGGTTTTTTTGGTATCAAACTAAATTAAAGGGCAGGGTGCTGGAGATTAAGCTCGGTGGGAGCACACCTGCCTCACAAGCACAAGGTCCTGAGTTCGATCCTTAGTACAACAACAACAAAAACCAAGAAACAAAAACTAAATTAAAGGTCATAAGGTTTCATAGAACTGTGATAATTATTTTTGTTGATTTTTTAGCATACTAAATGTATTCATGCTTTCTGACTGTACAGGTTTTCTAATATATTGCTTATGGTAATAACTTCCTTTTGATTTAAGTATTTCCTTTTCTCTTTATGTTTCAGCTACTTGTGACAACAGGTACATTTAATGGTTGGTGTATTTTCTTTGGGGGGCATCTGATCAAAAGAGAACATAGATAAGAGGTTTTTGTGTTTTTGGAAGAGAACGAGTATGTTTAACAATACCTATTTATACCCAGATGGACATTTAAGTGTGTTACAAAGATAATGTCATCATGATTGTCACGCCAAAATATTATGTGTGGTTCTTGCTTTGGAGCTTTTTTCTGTTAACATTTCACAGGAATTCAACTATTAGAAAAGCATGATTGATGAACATAGCAGTGTTCTGTATTTTATATTTCAAAGTGCTTGATATCCAGATAAAATTGTAATAATGAAGTTCACTACTCGCATTGCAATGCTAACATGATTGACCTTCTCTTCTGGGTGTTCAACAACTAAAGTTGAGAGACCAGAACTAGAAAGATAATTGGGCTAAGAAGACAGCCACTCTTTTGGCCCTGGTCCTTTAAGGTCAACAAACAACCCAGAACATGACAGAAACTTTTCTATAAGATCTTACAAATTTGGTAAGTCACCCAACCTCCTGTGCAGGGAGGTTGTTGAACACCAAAAAGATAAAAATCAACAGTGTGCCAAGGGAATGTCACTTAAGGGAAAAAAATCTCCCATGCTTCCACAGAAAGCAACACGGTGAAGCAAGACCCTGACACATCCTGATGGCTGACACTGACCAGAGCTGAAAAGCTCTATGCAGGGGTCAGAGTAATGCCTGAGGAGACGTGATTGATCTTGATAGATAGCAAGAGGATAATTCTCATTAATATAGGTCTCGCCTTAACTTAGTGTTAAACACCCAGAAGGAAAGTAGAAGCCAAAAATATATAAAGTCAAAATCAGGGCCTGCCTTCCGAGTTCAATCCCCAGTACCAAAAACAAAGAAAAAGACATAAATAAATAAATAAAGTCAAAATCATCCTAAGAAAGCTGGATATAAAAAGGAGTTCCGATTGCTGCCCTCTTGTGGCAGTTTTAACTGCACTGGTGGCTCTGTCACGGGTCATTAGAAAAAAACATGGTAAAATTGATATAGACCTCGACAAGAATTTTTAAAAATTTTAATTAAAGTTGTTCTTTGTAATTATTAAATTGTGGGGCTGGGGATTCAGCTCAGTGGTTCCACCCACTGCCTTGCAAGTGCAAGGTCCCAAGTTTGATCCCCAGTACAACAAACAAAACACACAAATTATTAAATTTTTAATCCTTTTACAGAAAAATTTAAAGAAATATTATGACAGAATATCAAACTTATAGATGACCTCCATTAGTAAGAGTGTCTAAGAGCCAACAGGGTACAATAACTATTTTAGTCCTTAGAAATAGGGCTCTTTCTCAAACCTACTTTTTTATTTTACTAATACTTTCATTATACATGCTCTAATTTTTAAAACAATTTTGTTCTAGCTATAGGCTGCCAAACTCGTAAGTGATATAGAGAAAATCAGCAACAAATGTGCTTGATTTTCTTTTTACCAAAATCCACCAGATTGACTTTATAAAGAGAGCGCATAATTGCTAAATTCCAACATGATTTTTTTAAGGCCCATTAAATTATCTCCCTGAAGAGATCCCCTAACTGCGGTCTTTCCTACATCGACCCTTCTCAGCTTGAAGCAGTTAGATACAAACTACACCCCTGCTCCCTTACTCGCAGTTGGAGATGCTCTTTACAGAGGAAATTGTTATAGTCAGCCATGTCAGTTAAACATATTATAAATCCTTGTAATCCACAGGTGCAAGCCATTGTTGGGCATACCCACCTTTCCCTAAAAACACAAGTACACAAACAAAAAGGGGGTACACGTACCGCCACAAGCTCAATTAGATCTTTTTACTTTCATTTTAAAATTTTTAAATCCCATGATAGAAGGTAAATATACTCCATTGAAACTCCACTGATAGAAAGTTAGATCTACAGACATGTCCTCAACACTAGTGTCCAAGGATGTCCTAACAGATAAATAGCTCAAGGCAACGAATAACGTTAATAACACTTATTTTTCAATAGGAAATAAAAAGAGGCTGTGGCCATCACCCCAGAATGTATGATCACAGATCGAGATGATGGATTCACTGCAGATAGTGTGATGTGAAATCCCTGCTGGAAGCCACGCCAAGGCTGCCTCTGAGTGACGCCCCTCACCTGCTTCCGCCCTGGGACCTGACAGCGATGCCAGATCTGATGCAGCTGCAGTTTTCCAACAGGGAAGGGGGAGATGCAGAGCACTGTGCTACAGATCATGCCCAAAGCAGGCTATAAACAGTTAACCCCACAGTTGGCTTGTTTATAGAAGTGAATAACTCCAGCTCAAATTCCACTCCACTACGATGAAAACCTTCTGACTAGAAGGACAGTGTTCTAATTGCAATCACATATTTTGTCTATTCTGTTCTAGTTTGAGCATGCTTTGTCTTGTCCTTTACGAGCCTTGTTTACATTTCTTTCCATAGAAACTGCACACAGCTTGCCTTTACCCCAACTGATTGCCAGTAAAAGTCAGGGCTGGGACTGGTCAGGGCCTTTGTCAGTTGCAGCAGCAGCACTGGTCACCTTGGTTGGCACCCTGCTTTCTCTCTCTTAGTTGTGTCACTTAGTATATCTTTTTCCTCACACCTGTGTAATATACTAGGCAGGGGACTGGAACCTAACTGCAGGGGTCTACCATAATATTCGGAGGATTTCTGGCCCACGTGTTATAGAAAAAACATGGAAAGAAGCCACTGCCCTTATGCGAGTGCTAGAGTGTAAATTGCCATAGGCTCGTTCCAGTAAAGCACAGCGCTGCCAGCGAGCGGAAGGTGGGAGTGGGACGGTCCATGTGGGCAGTCTCCAAATAGCAGGCTACGACGCCAGTAGCAGAGGTGGGAAATAGCAATTTTCTGTGGCAAATCCTGGCAAATGCCACCATAAAGATGCAGCGTGACACCAGCAGTTCTAGGACTTAGTGACACCACGCACCTCCTCCTGTGACACCCAGGGTGGGAATGTCGTCTCTGCAGTAGTCTTGACAAAAACGTGCCGTCTTGCTCTCATCACCAGGGGATCCCGAACAGCCGGCCGAGGGGCCTGTGCAGAGCGTAAGGATGGGTTTCACGGAAGGCAGCAGACTGCTGAAGGACGGCCACAGATGGGAGGGGACTGACTGCCCCGGCCACCAGATACAATGTGAAGTCTTCGGTAGATCCTGGAAAGGACCGACGGGTGCAGTCCAAGTGAACTCTTGAATGAGACTAGCGATGCCCTAGGAGTGTCCATTTCCTGATGTCGATTATCTTGCTGTGGTTCTCTTAGGTTCTGTCCAAAGGAGCCAGGAGCTGTGTTTATAGGAACTCTGTGCCCTTCTTTAAATGTGCAGTTTCTTCTACCTAAAAGATTTTAAATGAAGCTAATAAACAGGTCTTTGTAGGCAGCATAGTTCATGTGGCTTGTGATTGGTGATTAATATAGTCTTTTCCATGTGATGACTCAGCTGGTTTGAGCCCGTCTTCTAGCTCTGCTTTATGTGCTCTTGGTTCACTCTTCCCTCTTTTGGAGTAGTATTTTCATTTCTCCCTGCTGTGCCTCTGTTGCATGGTGTGTATGTGGCAGTTTCCCAGTGTGTGGCCTGGGTCTGCCAGGCCTCCTCCATTCAGTGTCCATCCCCCGTGCTGCATGTGCGTGGGAAGAGTGGGACATTGTCTGCCTTCCTGCCTGTGTGCTGCCGTCTCCTACAGTTTACTTCTTTGCTCATTGTAGACCCTGCCATGCCTTATTCTTTTCACTGGGAAAAATGTGCCCCCCATGAACTGACCCCCATCACCCTGGACTGCGCAGCCCCAAGGCATCAGGTGTGTCACGGGGCTGGGTGACGGACTCCACTGTGCCTCTCCACCGCGCCTGCGTCTCGGGATGGCCTTCCTCTAGCACGCGTTGATTTGTCTCCTCCAGGGATTGAAAGGACGATAAACGGGTTCCTGGCCATCCTCATGCTCACGCTGGTGGCATCGTGGGAAGCCTCCTCCTGTCCCACACTGAGCAGCTCTGCCGAAGAGGGACTGCCTTGCCTTCCGTCTGTGCAGAATCCTCTCAGGAGAGGCCTGTGCTGACAGCAGCGTCCTTCCGGCTGGTGGGACTGCGCCATGACAGGTCTATCCGGGGAGCACACGGGTGAGTCAGAGGCATTACATTGGTGGAGGGGCTGGACAGAAGCACCCATGACCTGTGAACTCACGCGAATAAGACTCGACGCTGTAAGCAATGTAGACTCCAAAGAGACCCACGGGTGCCTGGACTGTGTGTAGAAAATAAGGGCTAAAGTAGTAACAAGGCAGAGGGAGGAGCCTCCGATTCAGGCCTGCAGTTTTCAGACTTCCCAGGCCAGACAGTGTGGAAGGCACTGTACTGGAGTTGGCTCCCCTGGTCCCTGCCATTACGGGGATCCTCCTGCTCTTGTTGCTTCTCGCCTGCCTGTGTCCCTGTGGGAGGGTGTCCCCCATAACTACCCATGTTCTCTGGGTGGAAACCATCAATTTTTCCAGACAGAGCTCAGGATAGGACCTGAAGAAGGGCAGAGGTGCTTTTATTGAAACACAGGGTGGGTGAGTGCTTAGCAAGAGCCTGGGTGCACCACTGCAGACCTCCACAGCAGCGGGGGGGGGGGGGGGGGGGGGGGGGGGGGGGGGGGGGGGGGGGGGGGGGGGGGGGGGGGGGGGGGGGGGGGGGGGGGGGGGGGGGGGGGGGGGGGGGGGGGGGGAACTTGCAACATGGCCAAGGCTGGCTCTTGTGCATGCTGCATTTGACCTGAGTCTCTGGGTCAGTTCATTATTTATAAAATGGACATAAGCCCAGCCTCTAGAAGTTGAGGATCTAGCACAAAAATATGTAAGTAAGTTCGCTGGTTTTGATTCTTTGATCCTTTGGTCTTTGTCCTGGAGCAGTGCTTCCCAGGCAGCACCCATCTTGCCCCCCCAGGGAGAGAGTCTGGTGGGCTGGTGGGGGTTGTGCGGACCCAGGGGGTGGGAGGTCTGCTCAGCATCCTGCAGGTGGAGGCCGTTGATGGGGCAAGCAGCTCCGGAAGAGGAGGGTCCAGTGGGCGCAGGTCCAGGTGAGATCACAGGAGAGGGAGGGAGGGGCATTCTGGGAGAGTCAGTAGCGCTGGTGCAGAGGTGAGGCCCAACCCCATTTCCAAGGCAGTGCCCACTGTGTGCTGAATCTGGGTCTCCAAGTGGAACACGCCCAGCTGCGTTCCGATGACTGGACAATGCGGGCACTGAGCTTCCTGTGTCCCCAGACTGTTCTGCCCTCCCTCCCGTCTCTCCTGTCCCTGTGTCCTTTGTGAGGGAAGGGACAAAGGCCTGGGTGCTGGCCCAGGGGCACAGCCTCTCCCTACCCAACTCTGATGGGTTGTTTCTGTGACCCCGCCACTGCGGTCCCCTGTATTTCCCTCCCCCCCTGCCTTTGGACACATCCCCCAGCCAGCCCAGCCTGTAAGAGGCAAGGACATTTACACTTGGGGACACAGAGGCCACATGGGTGCCCTGAAGCACACAGAGCAGCATCTCAGCAGAGGACAAGCCTGTGGTGGCAGCAGAGGGTGCAGGGGTGGGGTGCACCTGTCACCTTTGTGACCTGCAAGGCCAGGCCCAGTCCCCACTTGTCCGCTTGACCCTGAAGAGTGATCCAGGCTGAGGATGTGTCCTCTTAGCAGCCTGAGGGTAGCCCCTAAGCCATGCAAGGTCAGCAGTGACCATGCTTAGAGACCACAGATACCAGACCAAACCCACAGGGGCCTTGCAGTTTTGTGGGGAGACCCACAACAGGGAGAAACTGAGGCTGCAGTTGGATAAGGGTCCTGAGGTGTCCTGGGCACCCTGGTCAGTGGCTTCCAAGGAGCAAAGCACCACCACGGGGCTGGGCTAGCAGGGACCTTCCAGTCCCCTAAGGGCACAGGCAGGACCTCGGTGTCTGGGACGGGTGAGGGCCGCTGCTGCTTGTGTTCCGAGCCTCATGCTATTCCTGGCCCTGTGTTCTTCATGAGGGGCCACAGCACCGGGGACCCAAGTGAGGCAGGGAGCCAGGACAGTGGGGCTTCCAAGCGCTTCAGGAGGTGGTGACCAGGGACCATCTGACTCAGAGCGTGTTCTGCTCAAGAACCACATCCTTGAGTGATGGTCACTGCGCCTTTCAGACCCCGACGGGGAGGCGGTTGCCCCCCTCGAAGGCTGGCTGTGTTCAGGCCGCCTGGGGATCCCTTGTCCATCTCCTGTTGCTCCCCCTCCCAGGATGTTGCCTGTGTCCCTGTGTCCTTGGTGTCTCCCTGTATGATGGTGCTCTCCTCACAGCAGCTTTGAGAAGAAGGTGGAAGGGATGTGAAAGGGTGCTCGGGTGGCCCCGGGGATTCCTGGAGACTGGGGTGGCAGCGTACTCGCCACAGTGCCATGGGGTCCGAGGTAGGTGTTGAACCTTGGGCAGAGCCAACTGAGGCCTATGGACGCCCTCAGCTCCGGACACCAGAGGTGGGTTTGGGGGAGGGCGAGGCTGAGGACTGGAGGAAGCTCTGTAACATGGCCACAGTCGCTCTGCCCAGAGTGGCTGCCCCTTTACCTCTCATGTACCTGTGCTTCCTCCTAGAGACTGTGGCGTGAGACTTGCTGAGCAGAATAGACTGCTGACCTAACTCGGCTCAATTCAGAAGAAATAAAGGATCACAAATACATAGAAGAGACCAGAGAGAAGAGCCAGGCTTCAGACTCCAGCCTGAGACACTCCGAGGCACAGCCCTCCATGACCCCAGGGCCTTTATACTCCCTATTCTCCAGGCCTGAGTCTCTCTCTGCAGGCTCCTCCTCACTGTCCCCGTGCCAGCCCGTGTGGCCACCTGCCTGTGTACTCTGGTGGGTTCCTGGGTCTCCCTCACCAGGCTGCCAGCCCCTTCACTGGATTTCTTTTCTCCTTCTGCCTCTAGACCCCAGCATTCCTCCCTCCTGCAGCTGTGCTGGCCCTGCTCTGGGAGTATGGGCGTCGGGCTGTCTTCCTGTGGCTCCGTCCTGCGGTGTGGGTCTCACACACCCCACTGGGAGTCTCTCTCCATTGACAGAAGCGCTAGAGCCATCGCGGCCTTTGTAATGTGTTTCCTGGGTCTCAACCCTCCATGGAGACCCTGTGAGACTGTAGGGCAGATGCAGTCCTTGTGCCCACTTAGAGGAGGAAGTCAAGGGTCCCAGGGGGTGAGGAACTCGGAGGACCAGTGGGTGAGCAGTGTTTGGGGCCAGGCCCTGCTCCACCTCCCAGCGGCTGGTCTAAGGCTCTGTCCCCACGGGCTGATCCCCTCCTTCAGAGGTCAGGAGCTTCATGCCTGCACTCTGGTCCCTGATGGACTGGCCTCCCTCACCTTTGGAGGACGTTCCCTGGTCACGCATCTGCGTCTGGTCAGCCCTGTTACTCCCGCCCACTGCAGAGAGACAGAACCCCTCTTCTGTGAGCTGTGGTCATTCTGAGAAAGGTCCAGGTACTGGGCTGGGGTCTCAGCTGGAGGATCTCACACCTAAGGCTTCTTCCCAGATCCCCGCCTGTCCTGCAGCAGAGCTCTGGGCCCCCATGCATGGTACTGGTGACACAAGGCACGTCGCTAACAAAACAGGTGTGCAGATGCTGAGGTGAATGGCAGCTCCTAGGAGTGGCTGAAGCACTTGGCACGAGTGAGTCTTGTTGCTGCTGTGAAGCCAGACCCCAGAACTGCATCCCGCACAGCTCATAGGGGAAGGTGTGGCAGCCCCCAGGTGGCACCTATGCTGGTCCTAGCTGGCTGCATCAGCAGGTCAGAGCAGCAGACGGGGCAGGGGCTGCTGCGCCATCAGGAACCTGGGCCAGGGTGCAGGCTGATGCCAGCCGGGGCACTGTAGGCTTGGACAGCATCAGGAAAACTTTGGTGCTCATCCTGCAAAGATGAGCCTTGAGCTGGGAGAGGAAACAGACCCTGGAGCTACAGCCATTTCCTGCAGAGTGACCCTCGCCCGCCCTCTAGTGACAAAGTTGTGTGTCATCTCAGCACAACAGAGGTCCAACCTGTCTGCGTTCAGGAGCCAGGAGAGCAGAGAGGGTTGGGAGCTGAGAGTCAGCAAGCTGACAGCTATGAGAGAGTGACAGCTCTAGAGCCATGGTCACAGCGTGTGTCCCTGGTGAAGAGAGGCGAGAGAACCTAGGCATGGCCTTGCTGGGTGCAGGGAGCCAAGGAATGGGCAGAAAGGAGACCCAGGAGCAGGAGGGTGCAAGAAGGGCATAGGGACAGAAGTGAGATTTTGTCAAAGTAGCTTCCAGTGTGGTTTCAAAGTGTGCACAGATAAGTATTTGTGTTAAAAAAAAAAGTTAACTAGGCAAGGTGATGCACACCTGTAATCCCAGCATTCTGGGAGGCTGAAGCAGGAAGATCACAAGTTCAAGACCACCCTGGGCAACTTAGCAAGACCCAGACCCTGCCTCAAAATAAAATACTAGAAAAGGGCTAGATGGTCAGTGACAGATGGCCGGGCATGCCATCACCAGTACTGAAGAAGACCCCAGAGCAATCCCTGCTTCCCAAGTCACCTCCACACACACGGTGTCCTGGCCTATATGGCAGAGATAGGGCTGGCCGCATTCTTTGTCCAGAGCCACTGGGGCCCCACCTGGGAGAAACACATGCTTAGAGCATCTCCTCCACAGCCACAGCACAGGGGCCACACAGGAGGGCCAGAAGGGCTCCGCCTGCACCCAAGGTGTCACCCTGCTTCAGCTTCCTGAGTAGCTGGGACCACAGGTAGACCCCATCACATCTGACCCAAGTCAAAAATGAACAAGATAGGGCTGGGGATTTAGCTCAGTGGTTCCAGCGCCTGCCTCACAAGCACAAGGACCTGAGTTCAATCCCAGGTACCAAAAAAACAAGATAAAGCCTCAGACCACCAAAGAAAGATGGTAGGACTCCCACTTTATCCCTCAGGGGAGGCTGATAAGGGCCTGGCCCTCTCAGAGCTGTGGTATAGCCCAGGCTGGCCTCAAAAACTCATGGTGATCCTCATCAGCCTCCTGAGTGCTAGGATTACAAGTATGCACCAACACATCCAGCTCTACCGTCAGATTTTTTAAACTGTCAAGTATTGACTTTATTACATTAAATTATACTTTCAGAAATATGAAATGTATTTGTTGAACTCTGTGCATTTTTTGTTTAATCTTTTCCTTGTGTATTTTTTCGTTATTTGAATAGCTGTTGTTTTCAGGGATCTTTTCTGTATGTGTGCATGTGTGGTACTGGGGATTGAACCCAAGGCCTTTGCACTGAGCTATAAATGCCACCCCTTTCTATTTTCTGTTTTGAGACAGGATCTTGCTAAGTCACTAAGTTGCCTGGCCTGGGCTTGCACTCGCAACCCTCCTGCCTTGAGTGCTGCCAATATGCACTGCACCTGGGGGCTTCCCAGGGACTTTTATTAACTCCATATTATAAATGCAGTCACCCAGTTTTGTCCTAACTTTAAAAAATATGTCTTGACTCATGTGTAGTACTTTACCAGCCAATCTGCTTGATGAGTTTCCTTAATGCTTGCCTTTTTTGTTAGTTCTCTCTATGACAGCAGACATAATTCACCTCTTCCTCTTCGATTCTTGGACCGCTTTCTGCTTGTACCATCCAAACCTCCCATGCAGCGAGTCAAGATGATGGCTGTCACAGCTGGTTTGTGCTGCTGCGCACAGGGTGGCGGATAAAGAACTGGAATGGACTCCTCGCAGTGCTGCAGGCTGGGAGCCCAAGTCTGAGGTGAGTCCTCGCCTGTACTCCACAGTGCACCCTGTTGCTGCAGCCTCTGGAGGGAGAAATACTGTGCCCTCTCCGCAAGGGTAGAGGGGCTGAAAAGGCACAGCTGCCGCCTTGGACTTTTAGGAAGGCCCCCAGGTTAGCCCCAGGAATCCGCTTAGCTTCCCTGGGAATCTCACCTGGGGTCAGTCTGGCCCAATTATCTTTCTCACCTAGATTTTCACACTTTTTGTATAAAGTTATTCCAGATAGCATTACTTAAGAAAAATTGCCTCCTGGATACTCTTCAGTGAAATAAAAAAGACACACATGTGTAAATACCAAATAGTTTCTCTGGTGTGAAAAACTAAAAGTGTAAACGAGGATCAAAACTTATAATTGATGATGTGTAATAGGAAGAAAAGGTCTAAAGGCGTAGGGGGAGTGGGAGGGCTAGGGGAAAGGTAAGGGAAAAGAAAGAATACGAGAAAAGGAAGAAAAATGGAAACAAAGGCTTTGTAAATAGGGAAGGGTGGGGGGGTGAAAGGAGGGCAGGGGATGGGGAAAAATAAGAACCAAGATTGGTCTTGTAAAAGCACAAGATCCCAGTGATGAATGTGACTGCACGGCACACTTAAAATGTACCAAAAACTTTTTTTTTTTTTTTAATTGCCTCCTTTTCCACAGTTCCTGGCCTTTATCATTTCCCAATGTCGGTCTGGGCTCTTTCCATCTGGACTTGCTACGCTGTGGGTTTGCCTGTTTGATAAGAGTTATTCCTTGTTTTGTTTTGCTTTGGGATGTGCACGTAGTTCTGCTCTACCTTGTTTTGTTTCCCCTAATATCGAGTTTGCTGTTCTTTACAGTCTCCCATTTTTTATGTCATTTTGCTTGCATTATTGCTTTGTTGTGTCACAGATGCCGATATATGTGCTGCTCTTTTTAAAGTAGATCCTACAGAGTTAGCTTGGGTTTGTCTTTTTGGCCAGAACTCATTTAATCTTCCATAGCATTTCTGGATGCAAGGGATATTTTAATTTAGACCAATGTTGAGTTGGACTGCATTGTGTTATTATCTCTACCCTGCCGAGTGCGTTGAAATCTCCTTTGCATTCTCCATGGTTCCGAAGCTGTTCTATGCTCTTTATGTTCTATATTTTGACATCACGATAAAAAGAAACAGAGGGCTTCTCCGTGATTTAACGTTTGTCCCGTTGACTTGTCTTAGGTTCAGAGTGGTGTGTTGGCCTGTTACTAATATGTTACTGTTTCTTGTAGCATTTCATATGGGCTTTGCTTTTTGAAGTTTGGCACTGTATCATTTGGCGCATAAACAGCTGTAAGTCTGTATTATATCTTCACGCAGTGTTCAGTATTATGTCACTTTATCTGGCATTTATTGATCTATTTTTGGTGGTACTGGAGATTGAACCCAGTACCTTAGCACTGAGATTCATTCCCAGCTAGAATGAAGGACACTTGGCTTTTTCTGCTTCTTGGACAGGATCTCCCCAGAATAGGGCCTTCTTAGAGCCTCTTCCTCCTCTCTCCAGCCTGGGAGGAAAGCCCCGTCCCAGGCCCCTCTCCTGGAGCAGAAGCCTCCACCCACCTCCAGGTCCCTGCCTGTGCTGGCGGCTTCCTTGTGCCTGCCAGGTGTTCTTCCTTCTCCTTTGCCCTCTCTGCGTCTCCTCTCAAGGGCGCAGATGGAGAGAATGGTGCCTGTGTTCCCCGCCTGAGGCCCTGCCACTTCCTCGGTCCTTTGCAGTCCTCAGCTGGTGGCATTCCGGGAAGGGCCCCATGTTATCTCCACGGTCTGAGAGCACCTTTCCCACCAACTTCTGACTGACAGCTGGGGTTTCCCTCTTTGCTGAGTACAGCTCCCACATGAGCTACAGGCATTGTTGGTTCTTCTGGACAGTTCTCCAGGGACATGGAGAGTGAGTGATTCCAAGCCAGGGCCTTCTTTGTACCCTATGGGGTATATTTTAGAACACTCACTTCCCTAGGAATGGCGTGGAAGGTGAGGCTTACTTCCACGCCTATCTTCAGGTTTAAATGGAAGATGTCTTTGTCAGGATCCTGGCTGTGTTTCTGAGGTGAGGGTGGAAGTGGCTGGGAATCACCGGAAGGGCAGAAGAGCTCTTCCTTAAAGAATCTTCAAGGCCCAGAGCTGCACAGGAGGAACAAGGCCTGCAGGCTGCCACCAACTGTGCTGAGCAAGCAGGGTTTCCTGTGTCCGAGGAGGATGGTGGAGATGGCTGAGCGCTACACTCCAAGACCAGCTGCTGGTTTGGTTGGAATCTGACCTCCCCTCTTCCAGCCATCAGCAAATGTCAAGTCACGGAACAGCTGTGGGAAGCACAGCTTGGAAGCACCAGCTGTCCCTTGCTCTGTGGGTGGCAGAAGCAAAGGGGCCGGACCAAAGCCTAAGGGAGAGCTGGGTGTCTCAGGGGAGCCTCACACCTCTGCTCCGGAGAAGAGCCCAAGGGCTTGGGCCTGGGGTGGAGGCACAGCTGCTTCTGTCAGGATGAACCATCGGGCAGAGATGTGTGCTTCTCCAGAGGGGGGCCACAGCAGGACCTGCCCAGAGTCACTGAGATTGTGCTGGAGACGTTTTCTCAGGAACTGAACTCAGTCTGGATGGGAGAACTGGAACCAGCCCATCCCATCCTCCCAGGACCACTGCCCAGGAAAATCCAAGTCACAGTCCTGCCATCTATGAGTCACAGCAGCCTGGGGCCTATGGTCATCTTCCCCCACTGCTCATTAGCATTTGGGGACTGGGCTATTGGTTTTTCCTTCTGTGTTGTATGCCAGGCACTGAAATCAAGACCTCCGCACTGACCTTATATCTTTGGCCCTTTAAATATTTTTTAAAAATTTAGTTGTAGTCAGGGTCTCCGTAAGCTGCCCCGGCTGGCCTAAAACTTATAATTCTCCTGCTCCAGCCTCCCCATTTGCTGGGAGGTGGGCGTTATCACACCCAGCTGCTTTCCGTATTCTTTCCTTCATGTCCTTCCCAGCCCACCTCAGCCCTTCAGAGGGCGCCTGTCTCCCAGCCCCTGTGAGAGCACCAGCGCTGGTGAGTGGCTGGACGTGGAAGTACCTTTGAAACCCTCTCCTGGTCCCTGACAAGTGCTGTCCCCTTCATCTTACCTCTCCTGGCAGCATCCTCAAGGGAAAGTCAGTCCAGGGTCTTCGGGAAAAGTGGTGCCTGCAGGCAACAGGGAGTGGGTCACCTGTCAGCTGGAGGCCACCCTTTGTCAGGCCCCTGAGGGCCTTTCGAGAAAGTAGAGACCTGAGAGCTTCACAGGACTTACTTGCTTCTCCACAGGGCCACGGACATGGGGCCCTCAGTCCACCGCAAACTCAAGGCAGGCACAAGTGCACGCCATTCCCTGCTCCCCTCACACCATGGGGCCAGTGGCATGGGACCCTTGAGGTGTTGGGACAGGGGGTGCCTGAGGCCTGATCTAGTTTCAGAAAGTGATCAGAGGTGAATGCCAATTCCTGATGTCAGCACCGGGGTGGCGCCAGTGTGGCTGAGGATGGGAGGACTGGCTAGTGAAGCCACCGCCTGGGGTGTCCTGTCCCTACACCACCACTGCACCCAGGGGTGTTGGGCCAACACCTGAGGTGTGGACATCAGCTGTCCCTCTAGCTTGTCAGTGGCAAGAAAGACCTCCACAGGGCAGCTGTGAGTTTTTAAGCACTACGTGGGCTTCGCATGAGGAGGAACTTTTATTTTGACATCACCGTACAAGTCCTTTGGAAGTTGAAAAAAAAATCGTTAATTTCATTGTTGTCCCAGAAAAGATTTTTTATGACCATTACAGCTCCCTGCCCCCATGTCCTGTGCCTGTCAGCAGCTCTGTGGGAACCTAAGGAGACCCCAAGCATGCAGTGCAGGCACCTAGGGGCTGGAGGCTGTGCTGGTGGGTTCTCCAGATCACAGCCCCAGAGCGCTGCCCAGGACCCTGCTGGCCCAGTGCATCCCAAGCCAGACAGCCAGATGTGGGTGATGTGACTCCAGGACCCCAAGCTCAGCAGAAACACTTCCCCAGCTCTGTGAGGAAAACCCAGAAGCAGGAGACTCCAGCACCCTTGAGTGAGGAACGCAGAGAGAGAATCTGTCCCACTGTGAAGCCCTGGGACACGAGGGGACAGTGTGGGGTGGAGCTGCGGAGGGAGGGAGGGACACCCCACTGCAGCCCATCCTCTCTGCTTTGTTGTTTACCAAAGAAGAGCAGTTCTGGGCCCCCCTGCATCTTTTCTGGAACAACCTCAAGCTGACAGTTCACCTCAACCCTGGTACAGAAGTGGGTGAAGAAAAGCCACGGATTGAACATGTTACCACTTTTTACTGCAACTGTTTATCAACAGCAACACTGCATATTTTGCAAATGTACAATACAGAGTAGCCTCGGACGCCAGGTGACATGCAGTACAATGGGACTCGTCCTCAGAATGGCATCCTTAACCATGAGACACAGCCGGCCTGGCTTTAAGGAAGGGGAGGAGCTCGGCAGTGAACCTGGTGGCCTCCGTGGGCCCAGACCAGATGGAAAACAGCCACATGGTCACTGCGCTTTCTGAGCCCATGCCGAGAAGGAAACACCACCCTGGCAGGACAGCGCCGGGCAGTGCAGTCACTGCCGTCACAGAAGGCTACACTCTGGCCTGCTGGGTTCGCTCTCTGCAGAGATAACAAAGTGCTCAGTTTGCAGATCTGCTGGTGCGGTGACCTCAGTGACATGGGGGTAGGGTGAGGTTGAGGAGGGAGACGGGTAACCCCAGCAGGCCAGCCAGGGCGACACAGCCAGAGCCGGCTTTGGTCTCTTGCTGCCGTCCAGGCCCGGCTTGCACACTGTCCCCAGATGTAGAGGCCCGTGGCCTGCAGGCTCGCTGCCCAGGCAGGGCCACAGGGCAGTCCTCAGGTCCCGAGGCTTAGGAGCACAGCACTGGTGGCCGCAGTGGCTGGAAAGGCTGAAACTGCAAAGGAGGGCCTGTGGGTGATGGGGAACAGACCTCACGCTGGCGGGTGGGCAGTGCATGGTGTCACCACAACACAGAAGCGACAAGAGCACAGCTAAGAGTCATGTGATGCCTGGGCAGCTCATGGGACCAGGAGAGGCAGCGGGGACTTTTTTCCTGGCAAGGGCCAGGCGCTCAGCAGCCAGGGTCACAGTGGTGGCCACAGTGATGACACGAGGGTTCGGGAGCACATGGCTACATGGAATTAGTGATCACTGCTTCCACTCTGGACACAGCATGGGACATTGTCCCCCGCCCGGGGCTGCTCGGCAGGCACTGGCCTTTGAGAGCCTTAGCACTTCATGGGGCCACTCTCGGGGTCCTGCCTGCCGAGGCCCGGGAGAGGGAGCTGTCATGGCGGAGATGGGCACTGTGCTGCTTGGACCTGTCTGGGAGTGGGATGAGCGCATCCAACCGAATGCGGAGAGGGAAGCGGAGAGGGGCTCACACAGAGTGCTAAGAAGCTTGCGACCAACGCCCCGGATGACCGGCTCTTAGCTAGCTGTCCCCACTTGCTACCGAGAGGTGACTGGGTTTTACCTAGACGCTCACCTGAAACAGCAGAGCAGTTATAACACTGGTTATATAGGACAGTATCTGTTAACAAAATAAGGATTTATACAAAGCAGTACGGGAGTTTTAGACGGATGCTATGTACTTGGCACAGTAGTAATGATTGTGTAAGATTTTAGTCCTAGAGGGACCTTTATTTATTTTTTGTATGAAAATATGGAAGGATCTGGATTTGCTCCTAGCAGGGAAGTTTTTGGTCTACTTTCTCACACACTCGTCTAAGCACTGTCTTCCTATCAGGTGAGAGGAGGTCCTTGGACAGTCTCTATTGCTAATTTGTGTACTGAAACACTTGTCTTTCACACACAAATACTACCTATACAGCATCTATATATATATATTTATATTTATATATTTATATATTTATATTATATAAAGTTTACTTACGTATTTTCATCAACCATATCAGGTCTACGTAATTTTTTTTTTTGCCCATTGTCAATAACAGAGCAATAATGCAGCAAGTTTGGGGTTTTGTTGTGTTTTGTCTCTGTTCTTTAAAAGTATCTCATTTCTTCTTTTCTAGACTGGGTTTTCATAGAGGTGTGAAAAGAGGGAGCAGAGAGCCGGGCTGCAGTGGGGTAGCAGCAGTCGCCATTACATAGCCGGCAGCCTTTGGAGCCTGGCGGTGGCTGCCGGGTGGGGGGACGGGAGCCCAGGGCGCCCAGGCTGCTTGAGGCAGGCGCTTGTCCCCGGGGAGGCGAGCCCATGGCTCTGGGCACCGTCTCAGCTGTCAGGGGCACGGGGAGCTGGAAACAGGTGCCCCAGGCAGCCCCTGCATGTTGCGCGGTGGTTTCGGGGGCCAGGCCCCTGCCCGGCTGTCTACACAATTGTGCTGATGCCACTGGGTTTGGCCTTGCTGCTGGTGGGGGGCGGTGGGCTGGGACTGTTAACTATGCTCAGGGACCACAGGGGACAGGGGTTAAGCAAAATGAAAACACAAAAT